TTTCATTATGTATTTTAATACATTATTTTTATTTGTAGTATAACTAATTTTTTATGCAGGTGACAGAACAATAATTGTTCTATCAACTATGTAAAAAATTTTGCAACTGCAAAATAAATATTCGCCTGTATATTAAATCATAGCTTTATATGTATTTAAAATTAAGTATTACCTAGAAAAATATACACAGAATATTAAATCATAGATAATCTTATGTTTGGATATTAAAATATACATTTAATTTCTTCTATCGTTTATGTGCATCTGATCTTCGCAAACATAATAACATAGCGAAGAGTTGTGATCCAAGGCCCACAATAAGTGGAAACTTCATATATTTTTATACTTATTTATGTATCATTTATTTTTTAAATATGGGATTATTATTAGATCCCAGAGTCTAATAAATTGGACATACTTTGAAAATTTAAGGAGTTATAGCTTCTGTCCTGTTATATTACATCTGGTAACACTTCCTAGACAAAAAGTATAAATTAAAAACTTGAAGTTATCACAATAATATTAAATTCTGTGATAATATAGTTTGATATTTAGTGTTTTTATTTTAGTTCGTTTTACTGTTAACAATACTGGTCGACTTATTTGTAAACGCAACTTAGCAAATTTAATTTTCGATAAAATTTCATTAATATAATTAAATGTTAAATCATTTTAATCTAATGTGATTTCTGACAAAATGGGAGAAATTGAAGTAAATTATGGCTCTACATTACCTACTGAATCCCTGAAAGTTATTGCTGAAAGTGTTGGTATTGGAAATTTATCTGATGATGCAGCCAAAGAAATTTCTGATTCTGCTACATACCGTCTTAAATTAGTGTTACAAGTAAAAATGATATTTTAAAAATATATTTATATTCGTATAAGTGAATTTACGACTAGGGAAAAATTTAGTTTGCTTATAAGCAGTCATTATTCAAAACATAAAGATTTATTTTATGGAAATATTTTTCTGTATGTTATGTATATTTGATGTTAAATATAAATTGTAAATATAAATGGTGTCTTACTGTTTTACTCTTTGCACTTATTATTTAAAAACTTTAATAATGATATTTTTATTTAAGGAGAGCAAAAAATTTATGATGCATTCTAACAGATGCAAGCTTTTACCAACAGACATTGATAATGCTCTGAAAGTACTTGGTATAGAGGTAAGTTACTAAGTTTATCAAGAATAAATAACATTGTCAACCCAAATTGCCAAGATCATCTCTCTACTTTTGTAGATTTATCTATTCGTTTTTTTCAGTTATAAATTTAAAAAAAACATAATATAATAGTCATAATTTATGACTATCCGACTTTTGTGATTTTGGCTAACAATACGATTTAATTCATTATGTATAATTTTTTTGATAATTTAATTTATAATTTTAAATAGCCCATATATGGATTCCATTCTAAAGAACATGTACCCTTCAGATATGCTTCTGGTGGAGGAAGAGAATTACATTTCATAGATGATAAAGATATAGACCTTATTGAATTTGTAAATGCACCTCTTGCTAAATTACCATTAGACATCAGCTTACGATGTAAGTGATATTAAATTATCAAATCTTATACATTTTTATATATATGTATATATATATATACATCTCGAAATTTTTAAGTAGTAATTAAATTTTTTTGCATTTATACGGCTTCCTTCTAAAAGTATTTTTT